AGTGTCTGTGTTTGTCCTGGGGCTCAATTATGCAGGTCTGGATTGAATGGAAAGGGAAGTGACAGAAGCAGGTTTATAGTCAGCACATCTCCTGGTCCGGAACTCTCTTCAGCAAAAGAGTCAATTCAACTTCCGTGGCCTCGTGAAGGAAGTGGTCTCCCTGCATTCAGCCTTCTACAAGCTACCCCTTACCTGCCTTTCTGGATTTCTTTTTCACTAACAATAGTAACAAAAACATTTGCATTTATGTGTTGCTTTATGAGTAACAAAATGCTTTTACATATCTTAGTTCTTTGAAGCTTCTCTGTAACTGAGATGAACTCAGACCCAGAAAGGTAAAAGGCCCTGCCCAGAGCCACTACTGCTCACCAGGTGACTGTGGTAGGTAGTTATCATTTAGAATATTTGCTGTTCCTTCTAAGGGCAATTTATGCTTTCTGGTCACCTTAATGTAAGATGTTGGCATGGACTTGCTTTGTCCAATGAACTGTAGGCAATAATGGTTCATGTCACTCTTAAGTCAGGTTATGGTTTGCCATGTCTCTCTTTTCTCTCTTCTCCAAGGAAGAAAAATATCCCAACAATATGCCAGATAGGGTCCAATCCATCAGCCTAGGCCCTGGACTTGAGGGGCTATGGAGTGTAGTCACAACAGACCCACTGTGGACTGTAACATGTGTGAGAAATTAACCATTGTTGAGGAAGGCCACTGAGATGCCAGGGTGGCCTGTTGGATTAGCACAGCTAGTTGAAACTGACCACACAGTGGTAGAGTTTGGATTAGTCAGACCTTCTGAAAGTGCTCTTCTTGCTGCAGTCACCCTCTGTATTCCAGATAAATCACCCTATTGGTTCTCTCTTCTGTGTTTTCTCATTCTGCTCCCTCTGTCTGGAATTCCTTTGATATCCTATCCATCCTCCAAAACCAGGCTTAGAATTTATCTGCTGTGATTTTTCTTAGATTCATGATGATATCAAACACTTAATGGAACACTCACTATGTGCCGAGTACTACTCTAGCACTTATTTTAATGCATTCAATCTTCCTCCCATGAGATAAGTCCCATAAGGTTGCCTTGTAAAGGGAAGAGGTAAAATAACTTGTCCAAGGTCACAAAACTGGTAACTGGCAGATCCAAGACTCAGATCCCATTCTTTTTCCACTCCACTTCCTTGTTATATTTCTTTATATATCTTGTCTCCTCATCTATAAATAAAATGGTGTCTTTCTCTTACTGGTGACTTTTATTTTGATCTTGGTTTTGAGCATAATTTCTGCCATTTACTAGTAGTATGACCTTGGGCTGATCACTTAAGCCCAGCTGAGTCTCAGTTTCCTCTTTTTATTTCCCACAGTTCCCAGCAAGTTGCTCAGTAAATGCTTACTGACTGACTGAAAAGATGAACTCTCTGAGCCTTGATTTTCCAATTTGTAAAATGGGAGTAATAATGGTATATCCTTCATAGGGTGGTTGTGGCATTTAAATGATGCCCAGCACAAAGTGTGACACATGGGTTAGAATTCAATACAGTGTAGCTGTTATTATTGTTGTTGTTACTATTATAAGCCATAGGCAAGATACATATAATATATAAAATATAGAGGGAAAAAACATACTTCTGCAGAGGATCTGGTCACTGAGATGAGGTGAAGGGCAGGGAATAACATGGATGAAGACGCAGACATGGTATAAGTCTTAACACCTTATTCCTTAATTCCTCTCCCCCGAACCCTCCCTTATACATTTTTAGTTTGGATCTAGTGAAATAATTCTACATATGGAAAATAGTTATGCATAGAGATGTCCACTGCAGCATTGTTTATGAAAGTGAGAACATGGAAATAAACAATGTGTTCAACAATAGGGTACTGGTTCAATGAACAATCTCCTGTCCATCTGGTACATTATATCTATTATAATTAAATGTATGAGGTGCATGCAATAAGGACGAATGCTTATGAATGAAGCCATGTGAAAAAGATAAAATGAATAATGGATACAGTTACAACTATATAAAAATGAATCACTCAACCAAAAACAATACTCTAAAAGTCTAAGAAGAAATATACTAAAGTATTAATAGGAGTAGCTTTGCAATATGGACTTGGGATATTGAAAAGTTTTCTTCCTTATAGTACCCACTGTTTTTATTACTATAGCTAATCTTTATGGAGTGCTCACCATGTACTAGAGACTGCACTATTTTATATATATATACTCACATAACCATGGAACCCTATGAGGAAGTTCTTTTACTAACCTTTTATAAGTAGGGAATTAATACTTTTCTGTTCATATAATGAACATATTTTACTTTTACAGTAAGAAAACAGATTTACTACATTTCTTTAATATTTTATCATTAAAGCTGAGAAATTTAGGTCCCTTTTCCTTTTCTTTTTGTCAATGTTATAATAGACATTATTGTGTATATTTCCTTATGTATTGGTACTGTTATTTCTGTGAATTATATTTCATATATCTATATATTTTTTTCACACACATAAAGTGTGTGTGTATTTAGTTGTCAGTGGACCTTTATTGTATTATATGTGGTGCTAAGAATCTAACCCAGTGCTTCACACATGCTAGGCAAACATGCTAAAACCCCAGCCCAATTACATTTCTTAAAGTGATATTTTTGGGTCAAAGTGAATGTTTACCTTTAAAAGAAACAATTTTTTTTTTTACAAATTTTAGACTTACAGAAAAATTTCCAAAATAATACAGTGAGTTGGGCATGATAATACACACCTGTAATCCCAGGAACTTAGAACTCAAGTGACTGAGGCAGAAGGATTGCAAGTTTGAGGATAGTCTGAGCAATTTAATGAGACCATATCTCAAAATAAAATTTTAAAAAGAACTGGGCATGTAGATCTGTGGCAGAGTGCTTTCCTGACATGCATGAGCCCCTGGATTCAATCCCCAGTACCAAAGGAAAAAAAAATAGTGCAGAGACTGTTTGACAATAAAAGGAATGAAATATTAATACATGCTACAAGTTGGATCAACCTTGAAGAATATGCAAAGTGAAAGAAAGCCAATCACAAAAGGCCACACATTGAATGATTCAATTTATAACTTCCAGGATGGGTAAACATATAAAACCAGAAAGTAGATAGATTGGTGATTGCCGGGGGGCTGGGGCAAGGTAGGGAATGAGGAGTGACTGCTTACGGACTCCTGGTTTCCTCTTGAGGTAATAAAAAAATGTTCTGAAATTAGATAGTGACGATGGTTGCACAACTCTGAATATAATAAAACCACTGAATTGTACGCTTTAAAAGGATAAATTTTACGGTACGTGAATTATATCCCAATAAAACTGAATTCAAAAGAGAAAACAGTACAGAGAGTTCATGTGTACCCTCACCTACATTACCCTAATGTTCTCAACTGGGAAATGATTAATATAATCATAGGGCCGTTATACTGTGGAGTATGAAAAGTGCAGAACAGTAAGTATAGTATGATTCCTTTTAAAAAAATGTTTAAAAGATATGCAAGTCATTTATATGCAGGTAAATGTTTCCTAATATTTGCAGGAACACACATTGAATGTGTGTTAGAATGTGTGTAGAAGCATACATGTGAACTTAATATTGGTCAGCAGTAGAGTTAAGAAGGGACAAAGACAGATTATGCAGTTCTCTTTATAACCCCTATTTTGTTTAATTTGGTATAAAAAGGCATGTAATTTTTATAATTTCTCACATTTCAAAATATTAATGCAAAAAAAGAAGACAAGGAAGGGAGGTTGTCTGTTGGTCAGTTTTCTGTTGCTGTGACCAGACCACCCGACAAGAACACCTCAGAGGGGGAAAAGTTTATTTTGGCTTATGGTTTCCGAGGTCTCAGTCCATGGTTGTCTGACTCCATTGCTTTGGGACTAAGGAAGGCGGAATGCCCTGGCAGAGGAAGACCACGCAGCTCAAGATGGATGCAAAGCGTGGGATAGAAGCCAGGGGACAAGATAATCCCCAAGGGCATGCCCTCAGAGACCTACGCTGTAGCCACACCCACCTACCTACAGTGACCACCCAGTACAGAAGTCCTTTGGAATGATTAATACACCAAGTAGATTAATCCACTGAGTAGGTTACAGCTTTTGTATTCCAATCATTTCACTTCCTGCAATAACACAGGAGCTTTTGGGAGACACTTCATGTCTACACCATAACACTACCCTTGAGTGATTCTCATGGCTAGCAATTTATCTCTAGATTTCAAGCAGGAAGATGTGCATTAATATCACACACAGGGGTCCTGCCCCATCTGCCCCAAAGTTCTGGATGATGGAGTGGGAGGGCTTAGAGTGGTAGTTATGACGAAGGTTTCTGGTTTGGAAAGAGCTGCACTTGAACTGTAGCTCTCCACTAGCATATTATGGGCATAACTCAACCATTCATTCTCCTTACCTTTAAAATGGGAGTAATTAGATAATCTTTTTTGTCGGGTTGACATGATGCTAAAATGAGATCATGCATGCAACGTGCTTAGTAAAGTGCCCAGCATACAGGGTTTTATAAATAATAGCCATTAGTAGTAGAAAGTAGTATTGACAGTAGGCATTTTTCAGAAAGGGGGATGGTGACAGGCTTACCATCCTTTCAGACACATAGGTTGGGTGTTCCTATGCTCTCAACCTGAGGATTGACTTCAGTCTTGTTGCTATTATACCCAGCTAAAAAGGCCCTCAAGATGGCAGAACAGAGCACATGAGCTTGGGTCCCTGCTGATCATGCAGTCACCATGCCAGCCCCAGCTTGCCTTCCCCTGGACTTATATGCAAGAGAGAAATAAACTTCTATCTTGCTTATGCCCCTTTTCTGCGTTTTCTGTTAAATGAAGATGAACCCAGCCCTAACTAATAGAATTCTCAGAGAACAACTCTGAAGGCCAAGGTGCTCTCCTGAGAGGTGTGGTGGAGACCTGGGGAGGAGCTGCTGCCTTCTCCTGGGCAAGGCCAAAGTGAAGGAGAACCTGGGTACTTACTCGTCGCCAATGTAGAGCCTGGGCCAGACCTCGTTGACATGGGTGTACTGGGGGCTGCCCTTCCAGAAGAGACGCTCCAGCTCGAAGGCTCCAGGGGTGCAGTAGTCCTCTGTCTCCCTCTCTTCCTCCGCCTTCAGGGGCAGCTTCTTGGCAGATGGGTAGACATTCTTGAGGCTTGTCTTCGCTTCTCCAGATGTCATTTTGAAGTGAAAGGATTTTCTTTCCTTTCTGCAGCTGGTCATGAGAGAGGGTTAGGATGGGGATTAGCAGGGAATGCTAAGGTCAGGAACAGGCATTACAGAAAGAGGTGGGAAGAAGCTGACCTTAAAATATGGCTGAAGAGTCCCTGGCTTGCTCTCCTCCTGCTTGATTATCCCAGGCCACACAGGTAAGCAAGGCCAGCCATGATGGCAGTTAAACAACACTCCTCAACATTCCAGTGTTTCCAGAGAGTACTGGGGGCTGAGGTTAATTTGCTGCTGACTCAGAATAGGCTTTGGGCTCACAAAATCCTTCCAGACAGCCAGTCCCTTTCCACCATGCTTCTAGACTTTACTCCCTCTTTGGTGCCTACTTTTTCTGTCATTTGATTGGAATCTGCTAGTTTGGGCCATTTTCATCTCAAATAGGAGAGTTCAGAAGCCCCTGGTGTTGCAGGACTGTAGCATGCTTGATAGCTGCAGGGAGCACTTGGCCAGCAGAAAGGGCATATGGCCAAGCCCAGAGCAGGTCTGTCCGGGTTCTGCACAGCCAAGGACAGAAGCAGGGCTTCAGAAGCCTTGGGGTGGGAGGCAAGCTGCTACAGGAGGGATAGCCAGCTTGTTAGGACAGTTGGGGTCATGTTCATGGCTCACACCAGGAGGCTGGCCATTGCTGCATTAGTTTATCAGGGAGTCAAAAGAGATATTCATGCTGGGAGCTGTTCTGTCTGCAGATTGAAACATGTCTGGAGAGCTTGTCAGGCTCTGCTAGTGGAATGCAGAAGAAGAGTTTCCATTGTCCCTAAGGAAATGAATTCACAGTGGAATAGGGCAGTGTGTGTTCTATGAGCCAAGTTAATGGCACATGTATGGCCAGACACCCAGGGAAGGGAAGTTGTACTCATGCTCTGAGACTAGAGGGAAGGAGAAAAGGGTGAAATGACTGAGGAGTATAGAGATAGGCCTGTGGCAGGGAGGGAATGTTATTTACTTGACAAATACAGTTAGTCGTCCAGATCCTCATGTTCCAAATTCATGATTCAACCAACAGCATTGAAAATATTCAGAAAAGAAAAACTGATCTGGTGTAGTGGTGCACACCTGTAATCCCATTGACTCAGGAGACTGAGGCAGGAGGACTGCAAGTTCAAGGCCAGCCTGGGCAATTTAAGAGAGGCCCCAAGCAACTTAGTAAAACACTGTCTCAAAATAAAAATTGAAAAGACTGGGGATGAGGCTGAGTGGTAAAATACCCTTGGGTTCAATCTCTAGTACAAAAAAGGAAAAGGAAAATTGCATCTGTTCTGAACATGTACAGACTTTTTTTTACTTTATTCCCTAAACAATAACAACTATTCATATGGCATATATGTTGCATCAAGTATTGTAAGTAATCTGGAGATGATGTGAAGTATGCAGAATAATGTGCTTAGGTTAAATGCAAATACTACACTATTTTATGTAAGGGATTTGAGTATTGAATACCCCCAGATTTTGCTGTCCTGAAGAGGTCATGGAACCAATTCTCCATAATACTGAGGGAGGACTGTCCTTAAACTTATTTTGTCCCAGACGACTATTCCAAGTTCTTTACAGTTATAAATTCATTCAATCTGAATAACTGTATAAGGAGACCACTATTATTATCCTCATTTTACAGATGAGGAAAATTATAAATTGAGGGTGTTTGTAGCACATGGCCTTAGTCTGTTGAGAGGGAAAGTAATGGAGAATACAATGTGAGGAAGGTCAGGCAGGGATTTGAAGAATATAAAAAAAAGGGCTAGTGGTTCCATAGACCAGTAGGATCAAAGACCACTCAGTAAAATTTGCAAAGGCTTCCATTTATTCAGGAACAGGACAATCTGAACATGAGTAATAAAAATAACTCCTGGGCTGGGGCTGTAGCTCAGCGGCAGAGTGCTTGCGTAACATGTGTGAGGCACTGGGTTTGATCCTCAGCACCACATAAAAAAATAAATAAATAAAAATAAAATAAAAGGCATTCTGTCCATCTACAACTACAAAAAAATAAAAATAAAAAACCTTCAGCAGCCAGACACATGCCTGGAATCCCAGCAACTCAGGAGGCTGAGGCAGGAGGATCACAAGTTTGAGGCCAGCCTGGACAATTTAGGGAGACCCTGTCTTGAAATAAAAAAATAAAAATGGCTGGAGATATTGCTCAGTGAAAAGCGTCCTTAAGTTTAAGGCCCAACACCAAAGTAACAACAACTCCAGCAGACAGAAACACATGAAACACTTAAATGGTAAAGATACTTAAAACAATTATTTGCTGTTGGAAGGTGCTGGGAATTAGCTCATTATTTTGAGATGAATAAATGAAGGAAAACAACCTAACATTTATTCTTCCTTTCTGATAAAAACTGTACTGGGCAGATATAGGAACTTTTCTCTTTGAAAAGGTATTCCAGATAATAAAGAAGGAAGGAAGCACTATTTTTACAATTCCCAATTAACTACTGGGCCAGGCTCTGAACATTGACTGCTAACAATGTAAGAATAAGAAGAAATAACAGACATTATTTGCTTTTCTTTCTTTTTTTTTTTTTTTTTTTGGTACCAGAGATTGAACTCAAGGGTGCTTAACCACTGAACGACATCCCCAGACTATTTTTGAATTTTATGTAGAGACAGAGTCTTGTTGAGTTGCTTAGGGTCTCACTAAGTTTCTGAGGCTGGCTTTGAACTCACAATCGATCCTCCTGCCTCAGCCTTAGGATTATAGGCATATGCCACCTTGCCCAGCCATAATGTGCTTTCTGATGGAAGAACGCACTGGTGAATCTCAGCAAAGTCTTAACGGTCTAGTTCTGATGGGACATTTGCAAGAGATTCAGAGGACCACAGGGCCTTATCTTAAATATCCACAGATGAAATGATACAATGTCTTGGATTTGCATTAAAAACAATATAGTTGAAAATGCAATCACATCATATTGGAGAGTGGGGTCTTGGTGAAGGTGTGTGAGGCAGGATTGGCTGTGGGTGGGGATAGTTGAGCTTGGATGGTGATTTCAAGGGTGGTACTATTTTTATGTGGGTTGGAAGGATCTGTAATAAAAATTTTAAAAGAGGCACTGGCCATGAGGTGGCACACACCTATAGTACCAGCTACCTAGGAGGCTGAGAAAGAAGGATTGCTTAAGCCCAGGAGTTCAGAGACTCATCTCTTAAGAAAAAGAATGGGTAGGGGGAGGAAAGGGATGAAACCACTGCTTTCAGGTTTGATTCTCTCAAGTCCATAGTTGATGCCTTAAAGGATCATGAGCTAACTGTGTGTGTCTGTGGGGATCTTGGAAGCCAAGATTTGTGAGTGCCTCCTGCAACACACTGATTCCTGGGATGGGGTGGTGAGGGCAACGTGGAGCAGAGGAGAACCTCTCAGTGTGATGTAAAGACCACCCCTGTTGGGGTCATCTGACATGGCCTAAAAACAGACTCCTGGGCTGTACACTGGGGCCTCAAAGTCTGTATTTTAACAAACTCCCAGGAGAGTCTGACAATCACTCAAGGTTGATAATAATTGTTTGAGATGTGACTCAAGAGTCAAGGAGCTGCTAGGCATGGTGGCACACACCTGTAATCCCAGCTACTGGGGGGTTGGAGGCAGGAAGATCCAAAGTTCAAGGGCAACCTGGACAAATTAATAAGACCCCTTCTGGGAAAAAAAAAAAGGACTGGGGATGGAGCTCTGTGGTAGAGCATCCCTAGGTTCAATCCCCAATACTGAAAAATATATGTATAATATACATATATTTTATACACACACACACACACATATGCACAGAGAAAGTAAGTGCGCGCGCCTGTGTGTGTGTGTGTGTGTGTGTGTGTGTGTGAGAAGGAACAGTTGAGAAGGATAGTTAAGAGTGCTCAGTCTAAATGCTTTCCATTCTTCTCATTGAGGAAGGTCTGGCTTTCCAAAATTCAAGTGCAGGCCCTGAAGGAGAAAGGCTGGGCCACCTTGGTCTGAGCCTCCTTAGTGTTTATCCTTGTAGCCTCAGTGTCTGAAGTGTAGAAAGTGCTTGGGAAATATGTGTTGAACAAAGGAATGGTTTCGTGAGGGGTAAATGAAGGCCAAAGGCCTGTGAGGCCTTGCTAGGGAACTCAGCCAGAGCTGCTGAAGCAGGACGGAGGCTCTGGCTGATCCAGAGGCAGGTGCAGGGGTGAAAAGCCCAGAATAGGATGAACCCTGCTTCTTCCAGCCAGTGGTTGGTCAGGCCTGAACTTGACTCTGAGACCTATCTGCTGGTGTTTCCAGGTGGGAAGGGAGAAATTATTTCAAGGGGTGGCTGAAGCTTCTATTGCAGGAACCAACACAGATACCCCTACCCCAACTCCTAAGTTCATGGTCACAGCTTTCATTGCTGCAGGCCCATGGGGGCCTTAATTCCAAGAGGCCTGAAACTTAGCCCCTCCAGGTTCCCACTCTTCTCGTAGTGAAGTGAGTAGAAGCTGGGCACTGTGTACCTCAATGTGGTGGTTTAGGCCCTGGTTTAGGCCCTTCTGAACCCTGCCTGCCACTAAAGGAGGATTGGGAAGAGGCAATTTTAGGGAGATGCTGAAGTCACTTCTATTCTGAAACCTCCGCCTGTCTCTTTTGATCACTGAAGTTGACCTCACCCTGGGTGAGGCCAGTCCTCCTTCATTATACTGCGGAGAGAGCCATACCCGGCCCCACCTCTGTGCTGAAAGCCTCGGCTGGATTTCCAGACAGAGGAGGAAGTGGTGCGGTCTACCCAGAGCAACTTGGCACGCAGAGGGAGCTCTGGGATCTATTATCCTCCGTCGTGCCGATTTGATGGGGGGAGAGAACAAAGCATGGAGCCGTCCAGAAACCACAGACCTGTAATCTTTCCAAATCCTAAAGGCGGCTTGTGTGCATCCCTCTCTGCATGGCTCCCAAATCTCTAATTCTCAGAGAGGCCAAGAGAGTCTGTTTTCCAGATCACAGCCAGAATGGAAGGGGAAGACAAATCTGTTCTGTTTGGTTTCCATAGATTCGACCCAGAGATTAACTGCCAAGGTCTTTGTGACACATACAATATCAATCACAGGCTAAAATGTCATAATGAGAGCTGGGCAAGATGTCAAGAGAGGCCTCCGGGTTCCTGTTGCAGCTTCATGTTTAAAGATTTGGTCCTGGGAAATCAAATGCTAACTCTGAGGTCTGCTTGACCTATGTGAGCATCTTCCTCGAGGGTAGGCAACTTGTCCCCTTCATGGAGGGGCCAGGCAGATAACATAGCTGAGGGAAGTGTTTAGATGTTTAAAAAAAAAACACAAGCAATAACTTGATTATTGACCCTAAGCTAGAGACATTAGGGAGTGGTAGAGACTGTGGTACAATTAAGAATAAATGTCCCCTCTGATGGTGGCAGCAGCTTGTCCTTCCATGTAGGAATACAAGCCCAGATTTTCTGATTTTATGCAAAGCCAGAAAGTCAGATTTTTGCAAGGAATCTATTAATTTCTAAGCGTAGGCAGGCATAGCAGATGATCTTCTTGCTGTGTCAGATGACTGAGCATTAGTGGACAGTTTCCTTACATACAAGTGGCTTTCGACCTCAAGCAGCTGTGTTTCCCTGCTGGAAGGTATTTTTTGGTCTTTAAGTTGGTCAGGAGGAGCAGAGTTAACACTCCAGAAGTTGTCATGAACAAGGGGCAGGAGTTGGTAGATAAACACTCCAGCTTCCCCAACCCTGAGTGGACCAGTTTTAAAGTTTTCCCCACACATTCTCCCCGGAGGCCTTTCTGTGTGCTAGAGCCCGTAGTTACCCAGAGAGGTGACCTTCTCACTTACATCCTTCCTCCTCTTGGGATCCCCACGCCCCACCCACACTTCCTGGAGCACCCTGCAGATAAACAGTTTGCACCCAGATCCTGGTCTTGGGGTCTCCTTTTGAGGGAATCTAAGATAGGGCTAATTAAAAAAAAATGTAAGGATATGGTGTGTGCCTATATGAAAACTTTATGTTAGATCCTATAAATATACATAATTCTTACTTGTTAACTAAGGGTAAAAATTTAAAGAAGAAAAAAAGAAATATATTGTGATAGCAGAGAGTGTAAGAGGCTGAGCAGTACTCAGACCACTAAAGCCTGAGTGTCGTTTCCTTCCGTGAAGCAGCAGCCTTGCTTTGGAGAGCTATTTCCAGGAATTTTTGATGGCACAGCTTGTATTTAGTTAAAGGTTTCCTTTGCCCAAGGAGGAAATATTTTGATTTGCATTCAAAACAATAATTTTGATACCAAACATAAACCCCAAACCAAAATTTTATATCATTTTCTTGTTTCTTAAACTAGAAAAACAAATAAACAAACAAAGCATCAAAATGTTAATATTATGGATGAGTGGTGGGTTCTTTTTTTTTCCTGTTTTCTATTTTGGGTTTCTTTCAGAAAATAATCATATTTTACAATAAACAACCATGTCTGTATTTCTTAACTGTGCTAGCCCAACAGAATAGTCTGGGTTCCTCCTTTATTTCTTGCTGCGGTGACAGGGCCTGCTCCATTCTCTTGACTCCTGTAATCACCGAGGACACTTGGATTTACCCATGTCATTCCCCCTGAGTATCGGTTTCTTTGATAAATGGAAGGGTAAAGATGCCTTTTAAAACAAAACACAAAAAAAATCCCAACCTGTACTATTCGGTTTTCTAAGGTGGAAGATGGGAGAAGTACAGTGGAGAGATGCATAATTCATTTCAGTGGGAAAATTAAATTTCTGAGTGGAGCCCTTGAGTCTGCAGAGACTGGACAGGAAGCCGTGCTTAGGAAAGAGCTTGTAAAGAAAGTCTGTCATTTTTAAGACCCACAGTACAGGCCTCTTACTTAACAAAAACACCGTTTGAGGGTCCCTCTGACAGGAGACCTAGGAAATAGTACAGAGAACAAATTGCTCTATGTAGTAAAACAAGGGTTTTTGAGTTTTCTAGAATATTCCAGAAGGGATATGAGAGGGCCCTTTGATGGGTGAGGGTTTGGGACCAGAGACGGCATAAAGAGATTCCAGGAGATAAACCTCCAGCAGCTAGTGTAGCAGGGAATCCCAAAGTCAACGTGGTGATGCCCTCTGGCTGCATCAGCCCTCTTGCTGTTACCCTAAACCTTCTGCAAAACTGTTATACACAGCAGCCATGTTTGTGGTGGTTCTGAGAAATAAAAGAAAAAGTCTTGTACCAGTGAAGAGAAGAGACCAGAAGTTTATGAAACAACATATACAGTATGTTCCCATTATTATACAAAAATACATGTCCAAAAAGTTAACACTGGCTATATGCTTGTTTGAGGCCAATAAAATTGTGATTATTATTCTGTTTTTTTAAACACATTTTTTTAGTTGTAGATGGACAATATCCCCGTTTCATTTAGTCGTTTTTTTATGTGGTACTCAGGATGGAACCCAGTGCCTCATACATGCAAGTCAAGTGCTCAACCACTCAGCTACAACCCCAGCCCTTGTTTTCTTCTTTTTAAGTAACCATCTTTTCTAAATTTTCTGTGGTAAACATGTATTAGTTGAGCACATAGAGGGATAAAAACAAAAGTTCTATTTTAGAATTATTCTATATGTAGAAGATGTTCACCCTAAACCTGTGGGCCAAGGCCGAAGAAGGCAGCCCTTGGGACAAGGCCTGGACAATGTTCCTCACTCCTCTCTTGAGGCTCCAGTTGCCTTCCTGTAAAGTGGGAAACTCAGAAGGCAGGTCTTGTCCTAGAGGTCTCTGAGGACAGGATCCAGGCCTCAGTTGTGTTAGGAGGGCAGTCTAGGCCCTCGTATTTCCTGGGAATCCAGGGGAAGTCCAGGCTGTGTGGGTCCTGAAACTCATATGATTTCTTTAAGAAAAAGAAAACAGGTATAGGGCCTCAGAAGAGACTGTTGCAAGTGTGGGGTTCTGAGGCTAAATCCCTCTGGAAACTTCTTTCCTTTTGATTTCAGATGCGGAGGGCAGTACCCCTCTCCACCCCCACCCTTTGATGTCAGAACCAGCGACTTGGACTTCCCCTTAGCCTAGTGTTTGTTTAGATTAAATCAGCCAGCATCTGGGGAACTCTATGGGGGTCATGGTGGGGATGGGAAGCACCATCAGTTCCTCCTTGACTTGATTTCACAAGTTAGACCCTCACCTTCCTCCAAATCTTTGCTCACGTGTCCCTGTGCTCAAGGCTGGGCCAGGCCAGTGTGAGAAGGGATTCAGGCAGAGGTGAGACAGGCTGGACCAGAGAGGTCTTTTCCTTCTAGAGACTTTTGGCCTAGTAGACCAGTCTATAATCTAATTTTTGGAAAAAAAAAATTGCCTTCCCTCCTAAGGTATTCTGTTATGTTCACATGTGTGTTGCTAATGCATTGGGGTTGTGGGGAAACAGTCTGCATTGAAACGTGTGTACACCACACATCTTCCACAACACCACCCAAGTCGGGCTTGGAATGTGCTTTTAAAGAAGGGGGAGAGTAAAAGCGTTATTGTGGTTGGGTAAATGACTGTTAGTAGAGTATTACCTACTGCTGGAGTGTGGAGGGGGATGGAATTTGGCAGCAATATCCATACATAAATATATACATATTTTTAATTTGCTACAAGTCAGTACTTGTCTTTATTCATTTAAAATCTACCCAAATGATCCCAACTAGAAAATAAAAGTTGGTGGGTTTTTTAAAAATTAAAACTTGGATATGAAAACCCAGGAATTTTTTTGTTGCCTATAATTTAATTCTTAATGTATCAGACATAATCCAAGTTTAACAGATTTTTTTTTCCCCTTTTGGATTCTGGCAAGTATGTTAACAGGAGGCAATTATGTGAATTAATATAAAATCCTTTTATTAAAAAAACAGAAAAGCCTTCTTTTAAAAGGAAATTTAATATTCTTTCTACGATGGCGTTGATGTCATGAACTTGTTTGATTAACTCTTCAAATGGTTTCAAAGCGCTTGGGGGTGGTAATTTATGAACTCCTAATTGATTTACCCAATCTTGGTTTGGCAGAGATGGGCCTCCCGGAAATGAGAGGAGGCCAGAGCCTCATACTTGCTTTCCTTCTCAGACAGGGGAGTGGACTGGGATGGACATGTGTGCTATGGAGAAGGAGCTCCAATGAGGGAAACAAGGGCCTTGATGTCTGACCAGGCCAGTTGTGGTTCCTGACTCCTGAGCAGCTGGGCCTTGGCTTCCTCTGGAGATTCTGGAAACACCGCCGGCCGCTCACAGCACAGGGACTCTTTAAGAACCATTTCCCACTGAGTGTCATCTCAGAACAAGCCTTCTTTGGGGAAGGGCATGGGGTTTCCTACAGTGTGAGAGTGTGGCCTTCACCATGGGCCTCTCTTCCTCCTGTTCTAGGTCTCTCTTCCTCACTAAGCCTGTCTTTGGGTGCCATAAAGTTCAGGCTGCTTCTTTTTTGTTTGTTTTAATATATTTTTTTAAACTGTAGATGGACACAATACTTTTATTTTATGTGGTGCTGAAGATTCAACCCAGTGCCTTAGACGTGCGAGGCCAGTGCTCTACCACTGAGCTACAGCCCAGCCCCTCAGGCTGCTTCTTGCTGCTATAGAGGCTTGTAGAGAAATTGAAGCTCTGGCCAGACACAGGGAAATGATCACACAGGTGGTTATTTCTGTTGTGTGCCAGTGATGATGTACTCTCTAAACCTCCTTTTTTAAAAAAATATTTATTTATTGTTTTAGTTTTCGGCAGACATAACATCTTTGTTTGTTTGTATGTGGTGCTGAGGATCGAACCCGGGCCGCAAGCATGCCAGGCGAGCGCGATACCGCTTGAGCCACATCCCCAGCTCCTCTCTAAACCTCCTTGATGGGGAATTACGATCCCCACATTACAAATGAGAAAATGAATGAGGGTCAGAGAGGCTAAGAAGCACTAGACCAAGCTAGTAAGAGGGTGCAATGGATTCTCAGTCCAAGCAGCCTAGCACCCAACCTGGGTCAACAGATTATTCACTATTCCT